AAACCATACCGCTTAGAAACATCCCCGTCATCATCGCTACTACTTTAGCTATCTAACAAAGCACTTCACCTAGTTAATATCAAACAGGGACTTGAGCTTGATGATAAGCGCCCATTCATCGTTCGTCACCTCTTTCCTGTAGAACTCCTTTAGACAGTCGATGCTAGCACGCGAGATCAAACTGTATAGCGTATCGGATTCCTCGAGTTGTCGGCCGTACGTTGGCTGGTGGCCGCCCATCTCGATCTTGACCGCTACCGACGGTTGTCCCTTCTTGCAGATTGGGATTTGTTTATGATCTCTTTCGATCGATGATCTATACATGACTTGTCAGCTTCGGTAAACAAGAAAGGCCGTTACCCCGTGTCACGGAATGCTATGGTAAAACTTACACTCGGCCCAAGCTAACAATTTCCTTGCCGCCTGTAGCGCTCTGCCTCACGGCAGCTATGGGTGTGCCGACTCGGAGATTACCATCTACCACATCAACACCGACGACGATAGGGTTAGTCTTGTTGAAAACCGCTACGGTATTGAGCACGCAGGGGAAGACGGCGAGCAGCTTCGACTCCTCTTTCTTCTTCTCAAGCTGGTCCTCCATGTGCTTGGTGAAGGAGTCAAAAAGGTGGTAAATAATGTCGGCGGTGAAAATCTTAATGTTGTTCTCTTCGGCGTAGGCCTGAGCTTCCTTGTCCACCTTGACATCGAAACAGAGCATGACAGCGTAGTCAGGGTTCTTTTCCAGCATCGTACCACACTGCATCACGTCACGCTTGAATACAGGGCCGATGCCGACGTTGGCCACAGGAATCTTGCAATCCTTCAAGAAATCAAGAAGCGCTTCGAGCGAACCAAGGGTCGATGCTTGCACGCTGACACCCCGTCCCGATGTAGACACACGACTAAACAGCTTATTCAAATCTGCTTCAACCTCTTCCTCCAGATCCTCTTCATCGTCATCAGGGCCAACCACGAGCAATCGAGAACCAGCAATGGCACCTTCGAGGCCAGGTGCACTGATCTTGACACCCATAGCTGCCTTGACCTCCTTGTTGTGTACATATTGCGATTTGACACGCAATTCCTTCATAACAGCCGGAGTAAGTAACGCTCGAATATTCGTAGTGATAGCCCCTTCGACACCGCATACTACTATCCGGTCACCTTCTCGAAGAATACCGTTGGACAGGATGACATCGATCGTCATACCGAAACCCTCGATGGCCTTGACTTCGAGGACGGTGGCCTGCACCTCGGAAAGATACATGAGCGAACCAACCATTCTTTCCTGAGTCAACTGTAAGATGAGCTTCAACATATCTGGAATACCCTCTCCGGTATGCGCCGAGGTTGGGACCAATGAAACGTATCGAGCCATAGACTTGTTTTCGTAGAAAACCTCAGCGTTGAACCCTTGCTCGGAGAAGGCGAGCTTTGTCTGTTCCAATCTGTTCTTGAATTCGTTCTGCACACCTCGGCTCTGAAGAGCTAAACTCTCTTGGAAGCCATTGTTGTCGACCTTCTTCCAGCCGTACAGACGATCAATCTTGTTGAGCGCGACAATGAAGGGTGTCTTTCGGTCACGAAGCAGCTTCATCGATTCAAGGGTCTGAGGCTCGAGACCGTGCATGATATCGACAACTAGAATGGCAATGTTGCATAGTGAGGAACCTCTGGAACGTAAGTTGGAGAAAGACTCGTGACCAGGCGTATCGATAATCAGAAGACCCGGGACCTTTATTTCGAACTTCCCGTCCGGATTTACGACGGCGGTCTTCTGTTTGATAGCCTCACCTAGTAGAAGAAGATTAGTTGGTGACCCCTAGCTATTGGAAGAGGTTGCGACAAACCTGGGAAATACGTGGCACCAATCTGCTGTGTGATACCACCTGCTTCTCCTTCTTGGACGTTCGTTTGCCGAATCTTATCCAGCAGTTTTGTCTTTCCGGTATCGACGTGACCCAGAATACAGCAGATGGGGCTGCGAAGGTTGTCCTTGGATCTCGCGGCTAAAGCAGCTTGGTGGGCTTTCTCCCTCCGATCGGCCGCTTCCCTCTTGCGCTGGGCCACAGCGGCTCGAGCAGCCGTTTGCTCCTCATCTTCAGAGGACTCCTCTTCCGATTCGGACTCGGACTCAGACTCGGGTTTCGCAGCCTTTGGTCGTGACGGTAACGCTTTAGCAGACTCCTTTGCAGCAGCTTTCTTTTCGGCCTCTTCCTCTGAATCGGCGTCCCAGCTATCTTTCACGTCATCGCCCGAGGCTGCGGCCGCCTCCCAGTCATCCTCGACCTCTTCCTCTGCCTGGGCTTTCTTTGCAGCTTCTTCAGCAGCGGCTTGCGCGGCGGCTTCGGCGGCGGCCTTGGCCTCAGCTTCCTTCGCCGCAGCTTCGGCTTGTATTCTCGCCCGCTCAGCAGCTTCGGCTAGGGCTTTTTCTTCATCCACCTGCAGAGGATTAGCAAAGAACACTAGAGTAGGCGATGGGAATGAACTACCTTTTGGTCGTTCTTCTTGCCCCGCTTCTTGGCGTCGTAGGTAGCCTTCTTTTTCTTTTCCTCTCCGTCTTCCGAAGGGCCGACCTGTAGGCCAGCAGCAATCATTTGTTGAAGCTTTCTCTCATTGCGGGCCTTCTCTTCCTTTTGAGCCTTAGTAAGATATTTTCCTTCCTTTTTGAGCTGTTCAATCCTCTCCTTTTCTTTTTGCTTTTTACGAGCCCGCTCTTCTTCCTTTCGTTTAGCTTCTTCAGCTTCTTGTTTCTCCAATTCGGCAAGACGGGCCTTCTCATTTGCGGCTGCTTGTTCAGCTTCTTCACGTTGCCGCCTTAATTCCTCCTGTTGCTTCTGGATGGCGGCCAAATGTGGTGGAAGCTTTTTGCCCTTCTTTCCTGGAGCTTCTGTTGCGGGTGCCGGGGCTGGGGCTTCTTTCTTCTCTTCAACGGCGGCTTTAGCAGGTTCAGCAGCTTTTGCTGCGGGAGCGGGTGCGGCAGTCTTCTTTTTCGCGGCCTAGATAGGATAGCAAACATTAGAACTCGAAGCCAATTGAGTGAGATGTGTGACGGTACCGACCTGTTCCTTTTTCCTTTGCTTCTCTCGCTCTTTCTTCAACTTCTCCTTCTCGGCCTTTGTGAGAATCTTACCAGATTCGTCGACATCGTCTTCATCCGCACCAGTAGCGGGAGCCTTGGCGGCGGGCTGGTTCTTATTCTGGTTCTTGCTCTGCTTTCCTCCTTTACCCTTCTTCTCTGGCAGAGCAAATTCATCCTCAGCGGTAGCTTCTTGGGGGGCTTGGAAGGCGGTGATGTCAGTGGGCTCTGGGGTAGCGGGTTGTGCGGATTCGCCGTCGACAAAGTTCTCGGACAGGCCCTTCTTCTTGCGCTTCTCTCGGTTCTTCTTCATCATGGCCATGAGGCCACCGACGGGCGCATCGCCGTCCTCTCCCTCCTCTGCGGGAGCATCGGCGGCGGGAGCGGCGTCGCCATTTGTCGGTGCAATGCTCTCACCAAGGTCAGCCTCCCAATCGTCAGCTGCCTTCTTTCCTCCCTTCTTTTTCGGTGGCATCTTGGATGGCCTACTGGATGCGTAGCGAGATAGTGTTGAGGTTAGTGGGGGACCTTGCTACGTAGCAAAGTGTCGTAGAATTTGAGAAGAAGGTATCTCCGGCCGAGTCGCGCTGAGGGGAGTAGGCGAAGCGAGGGGGGCGAGGTGAGGCGGGGTGATTGTTGCGATGTTTAGACGGCCGAAGAGAGACGGATAAAGGATAGGTAGATACAGGGTATATGGTCTAGAGTCATGTCCCAGAAAAGTCCCGAGACATTGCCTACACTCTCTTGAGCTTATCTCCGAGGGCAAAAGAGATTGCAGACAAGAAAAAAAAGGTAAAAAAAAAGGATCTAGCTCTCTCACTGGATACCTTCTCTCACTAATATTTGGTAGTGGAGTTAAGTTGGTCGATGTGGGAGACTTGGAGGCAACTGGCTAACTGATGGCGCTGCGGGGAGTTGGCACCGTTTCAGTGGGTTTAGGTAAATTTAAATTTGTGAAATGCTTGCTGAGCACATGGACATGCATCTCTTCAACGTTGCCCCGAAACAATAGAAAAAGGTCCGAGGTGCCGATAAGGACTTAAGCGAGCTACTGTGGCTCTTATCTCCACTATCGATAAGAAGTGTAAGTGTCAGCACTCTACCTAACCTACAATACTATAATACCTCAGGTAGAAAGAAACTACAGAGAATTATTACCTTCGAAAGTTATACCTCCATGCTCGACGACAATAATAACATATGTCTTTATTTATAAAAGGTTTTTTTCTTGTTGGTGGCGTTAATGCTATAACATAAGTGCTTGATAGGGTGAAGGCCTTCTAGGGATTGAGGATGGATTGGATGATAACCTAGCCCCTAGCCATCGAACAGGAAAGCACTCACCCAAACCTTTTAACTATTTCTAGCGTCTCCCTTCAGTAACAACATATCGGGCCTTTTCTTTCAACTAAAGTACAAGGGTAGACTATTGTATAGTTTGCTGTTATATGTCCTATTCTTGGGGTTTGATTTCGAGCAGGAATCTATGGTGCCCGGGACGACTCATGAAAGAATTGGATGCTGGAGGCATCAACTCTTTAAAATGATGTAATTGAAGTTAAAAAGTTGCTGTCTACTATACAGTAAACACAAATACACTCAATACGGAAAATCGTCTAGATAAAACGAGTGCTGTTTTGGTTTCTGTCACACATAAAAATTCCTCTGGTATTAAAAAGTCCGGTAGTTTTTTACTATGTACCTCCGCGGTGCTGAGGTTTGGCCGGGAGTAAGGTAGGTAGTAGGTAAGGTACAAGGAACAGTGTATTAGGCTAACCCTCACGGTGCCTGTGGGTCAATTACTCTATCTTTTCTACAACATCAATAGGTACTACATACACAATAGCTTTTAAGATCAGTGATAGGTGCGCCTAGGAGTCTGGTCTGGGTAGAAAGAAAAAAGAAAGAAGAAAAAGAATGACTCCGAATCGGGGAATCGAACCCCGGGCTTGACGGCACACCACAGTACATGAGAGCGTCAAATGTTAGCCACTACACCAATTCGGAAGGATAACAATACAATGAAGTGGAAAGAAAGAAAGTTTAATCGACCTCGGCCGGACTCGAACCGACAATCTCTAGAGGTTTCAGCTTTTGAAAAGCACCGAAATCTAGCGCCCTAGCCATTAGGCCACGAGGCCCAATTCATTGTGTGATAGAATCTGTTCGTTGTAGGGAAGCCTATGAATAGAGGGGGAGAGCCAGAATGGGGGCAAATGGATTGGTTGGGGGGAGGGGAGAAGGGAGGAGGAGGGGTTGTTTGTTAGTTCGAGTGGATAGGCAGACTTGGGTAGTGTGAAAGTTAGTGTGGAAGTATTTTTCTTTTACTTGTGATTGGTTCCCAGAAAGAAAGCGAGGCGGCACCGATGAAACAGCAGTCATGCAACCATTATATTCCACATAACAGTATATTTACATATAACTATACCTAGGTATATATAATACAGTTTTGTGAACTTCTACAATGTCCTTCTTATTTATTTACTTCTTATTCCGTAAACATGGACAACTTAAAAGATAGGTAGGAGGTAGGTAGCAGATTGGTTAAACCTAGTATATCCTCACTCACTCTCAAATCAGTCAGTTCATCTTAGCATAGCAACAACAACTACACCCCTCAGCATCTCAATATTCACTAAATACCATACGATGAACAAAAAAGAGTATTAAAGTTAGTTAGTCATGAACATACCCGTATCCGGATAAGGTCTATTTCAAGTCTGCAGCCGGCCTCGTGTGTACTAATTGAGCCGCCGTAGTCTATCTCTAACACCGCAATATCCGGGTCGGGAACGAAGGGCAGATATCTTCCCAAACCATCATTGAACCATCCAGTCCCGCCCCAGCTCCATTGCAGTCATTCCTTTTTCTTAATAAAAAAAACCCCATTTCTTCATCATTCGGCGTCATATTCTCAAGCCCCTGTGTCAGCACAATAACACAACTAGCAGATCTGCTGACCAACTGAATCGGGTTCGTTTATATCACTCAAACTAATCACCTCCTAGGATTGGGCCTCTTCAGTCTCTGGCTTGGCCTCGGCATCTGTCATCTCCTCGTCCTTGTTGCCCTCGCTCTTCTCCGGCTCGGCTGCTTTACGAGCCTCCTCCTCGGCCGCCTTCTTTGCAGCCGCCTCAGCGTCAAGCTTGGCTTGCAACGCTTGGCGGTCGGCTTCTACCTTGTCGAAGTATCTCTGCGTAATGGGGCCGGCCATGGCACGGATTTCGTCTATCTTGGCGATGTAGACAGCCTTTGTGGTGTCCTCGCCCTCCTCGTATAACCAATCCTAGTACAAGTCAGCACGCGCTACATTAGCAGTATAGGGAATGTGTAGAACCAACCTCGATTTCGGTGAGCTTAGATCTCAGCTTGTCCTTCTCCTCATCGCTGGCGAAGTCGGCATACTGGTCGTCTAACTTGTTGCGCATATCATAAATAAAAGTCTCGAGTTCGTTCTTCTTCTCTTCTGTGTCGGCCACTAGTTTATCTTCCATAATCATGGCTGCCTCTTTCTCGAACAAGCTGCTCTTGGTGTTCGCATCGAGGGAGGTAGTTCCGGCGACAATAGGTAGATCACCCTTGCGAACTTGCTTCTTGACCTTTCGCGTCTTGGGCTTGCCATCTTCCTTCTTGTCATCGGTGTCCATAGCCTGGAGGGGGAGGAAGTCAGTAAAAGCATATCAAAACGCCCAGACTCTCCATGTAGTCCATTTACTCCGGTGTGATAATCAAGGGGGTAAAACTCACATCAGGATCTTTCTTCTCGCCGTCTTCTTTGACCTCTTCCTCGACCTCTTGGTCTTCGACATAGTAACCACTCTCTACATTCAAGATACCGTGAATGTTGACACGGGCCTTTAGCTTGCAGATCATGAATTCCGTCTTAGGGTCAGCCTTGACTCCCTTGACAGAGAAGCGGCCAATGAAGGGGGACACCTTGCCAGGAAGGTCCTCGGGATTCGAGTATCGCGCCTCGAGATCGAAGGGCTGTTTTCGGTAGAAGGTTAGAATTTTAGTGGAGGGTAGAACATTGCCCCTGCCAAAGACAGTCAAGCTTGTATCCTCATCGGGGATATCCACGTCCTTCTCCCATGAAAATTCGATCGGGTAGTGGACGATATCCGCAACGGAGAAATCGCGAACCTTGAAGACAGGCGACAAGATAGCGCAGGCGAAGGCACAACCTCGAGCAATGGCTTCATCCTGGTTGAGAGTGAACGAAAGACCTTTACCGAAGAAGTTCTGGATTCTCTCCTTGATAGCCGGCACACGACTGCTGCCACCGACTAGCTCAATAAAATCAATATCATCCTTGGTCAGTTCAGCATCAGCAAGCGCCTGCTCTAATGGTCCAGTGACCTTGTTTAGGAGCGGCTCGACGAGAGCCTCGAATTCCTGGCGCGTCACCATAGCGTTCACATCGATATCATTCATCAGAGACTCGATGTTGAGAGGAGCTTGCTGGTTAGCAGACAGGATCTTCTTGAGCTTCTCGGCACCGGCTTCGACACGGGCCAGGGCTTTGGGGTTGGTCGCAATGTCGATACGGTACTTGCCCTTGAACTCCTTCTGGAAGTGATTGACCAGAGCCAAGTTGAAATCACGACCACCAAAGTGACGGTCAAAAGCAGTGGACTTGACTGTGAGCTCGCCCTTCTTGAACTCGACGATGGAGGCCGAGTAGTTGCTGTGGCCGATATCAATGAAGCAGACACGGCGCGGCTTCTGGTCTTCAGCGGGTAAATCAAGCTTCGTGATACCATAGCCCAAAGCGGCAGCGGTTGTGTCATTCATGATCCGAAGTGGCTTGAGGCCGGCGATCTCAGCAGCATCGAGAATGCTTCGTCGCTGGATGTCGGTAAACCACGGTGGCACGCTCAAGACGACATCAGCCACCGGTAGCTTCAGCTCGGCAGCAGCCGTTTGCTTGACCTTGCTTAGGAACATAGCAACAAGCTGGGTAGCCGTGAACTTCTCCTTCTTGCCCTGGTACGAGACCTCGGCGCCCACCTGGCCATTGCAGTCTACGAGGGTGGCCGAGACATATTGCGCCTCGATCTGGACGTCTGGATCTTTGAGAGCGCGTCCAGCAAGACGCTTTAGGGAGGAGACGGTATTCTTGAGGTTGGAGATTTCTTGTGTCTTGGCCGGCTCACCAAGGTAGCGGGCTCTGGGGCCGAATCCCACTAGGGAACTAAAAGCCGACGTTAGTAGGAATAAGGTCATCGTTGACGAGACGGGAACAACTTACGGCGTGGCACGGTTGGAAACTTCATTGGTGATCTAAACAACAAGTGACCTGTCAGCCTTGTGCCGAGGACTACAATAGTATAAAACGGACGAGTGGAGAATGGAAGAAGGTATTACGCACAACGTCAACACCTCGATTTCTCGCTACAGCAATAACTGTGTTGAGCGTTCCGAAATCGACACCTAGAGGGCGGTAGCATTAGTAGACAGAAGACAAACAAGTGCGCAAAGATGTCGGGGCGGGGGAGACATACCAACGACACTCATGTTGACTGGATAGATGTAAACAACTGGAAGCGGTTTCTATGGAACAGGATTCGGCTGAAGGACCGGGGGGAGGGGGTTTCAAGACGAGGAGAGACGTCGGCAATAAACAGAGCAAGTCGAGAAGAGGACAGGCTCGGGCGGTGAGGTAAGGTCGGGAGGTCCGGCGGGGAGGGGAATTTCTATTGTCCAGGCACTTCACTTCCTACGCAACGAGATAGAAGACTGATTCTTTAAATAAGAAAAAAAAAAAAAAAAAAAAAGCTGCCCAAATGCGCACTGTAGGCATAGACTACCTAATAAGAGGTGGGAGAGAGAGGGACAAGCGGACAGATCGAATTCTGTGTAGTCCAGTCAGTGTGCAGTCTAGCCTCACCCGGCTTACCCCTCCTTAGCCACACACCCCCCTCCGGCGGGGCGTGGCATACCAAATGCTGTCGCGCGAAACTTCTAGAGGCTTCACGTAACCACCAAAACGCCCAGCAAAGGAGAAATCTTCCAAAGCATTCCTACATTCCTCATTCACCATTCACACGCAACAACGCATGCGGACCGCTTTTACTGGTTCCAGTGGTCCTCAGTGGTCCCAGCAGTGGCCCCAATAATAAAGTGCCTGACCTAGAAACCCCCGTTGCCAGCCTCGTCCACCATCAACCCATACATACATTAGGTAATACCCATAAAATATTATGTGTCGCCAAGTTCCGACCTGAATCTCGATGCCACACTTTTAACTTTATACAGAAAAAACCCATTTTCATTACACTTTTATTGTTCCATTTTTTCCCTTCCTTTCACTGTCCCGTCCCGTCACAGCCGGTTCTGAACAATGACGAACTAGAACCACTCCCTACCCAGCCCCCTCCCTCCCCTTATCACCCCGCCTTCACCTGTTATCGCTGCCTATCAGTCGGTATCGATTTTCACAACACGAAGGTGGGGTCATCAGGTACAAGATCCACCTGTTTTGTAATTCCCACCCCCCTTCCCTTCCTGACCGCCCGCCCCGCCATCCAGCAGAAAATAGATGCAATTAGATTCCACCCATTCCACCCTCCCAGGAATACCAAGAAGGCAGACAGACATGCTTTGACTACCAGGTCCCCCAACCCTTTCCCATTTGTCCACATAATACGTCTATATAATTTTTTTCGTGGAATCGAAGGAAATAGAAAGACGGACAGTATTGCTCTCTCCTTAACCAACAAGATTTATGTACCTTCAAGGAAGGAGGTAGTTTATTGAGTAGTTGTCGTCATCACGAGTCCAAATACGTTAATGACGCCATACCCCAGATCGATATACTACAAGAGCTAAGCTCGTCAACAATGTCATTCATCCCTCAATTCTCATGGCACGGAAAGGCAAAGAAGAAATAGAACGGTTCGTAGTGTGAATGCATGTGAATGCGACGAGACTACCGATCACATGCATAAATTGGCACCCCTTAAAAACAAGTTCTCATCGCCAATGACCTTGTTGTGATTATGAAGTATGGGTTCCCCACATCGAGTGCACAGGTGACGGCCCGGTCATAGTATCTCATTTACTGCTTGTTTCAGCAGGTTTATAGATTCCCTTTTCTTGCTCTTTTAGTCGACTATGTGCTTCTTATCTGCCCACGATG